TTCTACCAGGAAGCCATGACACAATTTATGTAACAAAGGCATTATCAGTCAATGTCTGGTATAGAAACAGAATACATTAAAAAGTTCAGGAAGGCCGGGCGGTGGTGGCACATGCCTTTAATCCCAGCACTCGGGAGGCAGAGCCAGGCGGATCTCTGTGAGTTCGAGGCCAGCCTGGGCTACAGAGCGAGATCCAGGAAAGGCACAAAAAGCTATGCAGAGAAACCCTGTCTCGAAAAACCAAAAAAAAAAACCAAAACCATAATTCACGAAATACAGAAGGAATAAGCTAAAGCCACCTCTGTTACTCCTGATATGGCCAAAGCGACGCATCCTTCCCCTCTCCTTATTCTGTGTAGATGCACTGGTTCAGAAAGGAAGAACTGAGGCTGGGCTTGCAGCTTTGATTGAAGTAACATTTAGCTAATCTGTGCCCCGCAAATCCCGATTTGTGTAAACAAGATGGTCACAGAGCTGGGTCCTCCATGCTTGCTGTGATGCTTGTTTCTGTCTCGCTCTGGCAGTCCTTGCCAGGAGATGCTACAGAGGTCTCAGAATCAAAAGCGAGTCTTCAAGTAAGTGGATGTGGGAAAACAGCTTCTTTAACATGGTTTCCATTTTGGAGGATAGCTGATCTAGTTCCTGAGAAACATAGGCAGAGAGAAAATAAACCAAAATCTGCTTTGAAATGGAGTGCCACCCGCTCGACACAGAAGCATACACAAAACTCCAAATCCAAGAAACTGGGATGGCCTGAGGGGGAGAGAGGATGGGAGCCCTGAACCAGGTCACCCTAAGAGAGGACACAGGTTTCATAGCCCCGTGCACACAGGTTACACAGCAATCTCCCTCTGGAGCACCCAGGGATCTCTTATAACCACTGACCTTTTCTGGCACAGCCTCTGACAGACAAGCTGCCCTGAGGCTGGCACACATTTGGCTTCAGTGCATTTGGAAGAGGGGCCCCAGGAGTGTGGGTCTCATGTGAGAAGAGTGACTTGGAGGTGGAACCACTGGCCCAGCAGCTCATCCTAAGGCGGAGTTTTGTGGCTGTGATAGCATCCCAGACAGGTGCGGCTTACAGAAGGTTTATACTGGCTCACATTTTAAGGGTCCAGTTCATCTTGGTAAGGAAGTCACAGCAACAAGAGCTTGAGGTAACTGGTCACACTGCATTCATAGTCGGGGAACAGAGAAATGGATGCTGGTGCTCAGTTCCCTTTCTCCTTTTGATTTGGTCTAGAACCCTCGTCCGTGGAACGATGCTGCTCACACTTAGGCATGGTCTTTCTTCCCACCTCACTTAACCTAACCTAGAAACGCCCCTACAGACAGATGCAGAGGCTTGTCTCCATGGCAACTCTAAATCCCATCAGTGGACGGTGAAGATTAACTACCCTAGTGGAAGAAGAGGCTAAGGGCTTGAAACCCTGGGCTCGCTCATGGACATTGTCCCTGGAGGCATAAGATCTGAGAGTTTTACGCTACTCAGAATACTGACTTCTGCCCAGAGTCATAGCATTGCCTTATAAGATTGAATCAACTCTATCTCAGTGTGAGATTGATCACTGATGGGGAGAGGGGAATCCTGGTAGCTGTGTCGGTGGTATTTGTTAGCAGTGATGTACCCTAATCTTAAGCAACACAGGGATACCACTGAGCTTATGCTCAGTGAAATATGTGTTTACTGATGAACGTTTGGTGCATGTCTGTTGGAGCCCCGCCATGCTCCAGTAATCCCAGACACAGATGAGAATCACACATTCAATATCTTCGCTTCTTTTCCTAATTCTGTGATAAAATGCCCCCACTGAAAGCAATGTATAGGAGAAGGGTTTGTTCTGGTGCACAGTTCAAGGAACAGTCCTTCAAGATAGGGAAGTCAAGGCAGCCAGGACATGAAGCAGTTGGCTACATTGCATCCAGCACCAAGAAGCAGAAAGCAATGAATGCTCAGCTTGCTTTCTCCATTTATACAATTTAGAATCCCAGCCTAGGGGATTGTGCCACCCACAGTGGGCCAGTATTTCCACCTCAATTATCTTAACAGAAGTAATCCCCGATAGGCTTGCCCTGAGATAACCCCTCACACAAAGGTCCTCTGAGGCTTGTCTCCTGAGTGATTCTTGATCCTAGCAAGGTGACATTAACATCACAGTCGGTGATTTCAAACTCCTAGCCCTCAAGGATGACTGTATTTACTCACAGAGGATATTGACAAGCTATAAGTTAGTTTGAATTGGCATTAGCATTAGATTTGGGGACCTGGAGGAAAGGATGGGGCCACAGAATCATGGGAAATATTTTACGACTATGGCATTATTTGTTGGGGCTCTTAAAAATGAGCAGGGAATTTTCAGGCAAGTGGTCAGCCACAAGGCATTTGGGGAGGACAAACCTGTGTCCGTATGGCTGGATCTAAGTCTTAGAATCTAGTCAGTAGTAAAACTGTCAGCTAATGCTGTGTTGTTGGTTCTGCTTTTGCTTGAAGAAAGAGACTGAGCATATCCCATATACAAAGCAGAAGGAACAGTTCTCGGGGGTAACTGGCCAGTGAGAGCACTGCATCTAAGTGGTTCCTATGGAGTTCAGAGAGGTCACAGGAAGGCACTGAACGTCATTCCAGCCAGAGACAGAGATGACGTGACCCGATGACCACAGGACTCCCAGGATGGCACAGGAGCGGCACAGCTAATGCCTCTGGGACCCGTCCCCCATTATCTGAGGTGGCCATGTGTATCTAGATACCCCCAAAGCCTGGAGCACCCCAGCATCTCCCCACTTCAATTCCTCACCTTCAGATTCACAGCTCCTGTGACTGGAAGTTTGGTTTCAGGCTGGGAAAACCACTCAGGATGCCTTCCTGAATGAGCAAAAGAAGGAGGTTTAATCCCAAACAGGACTCCGTTCGCAAGTACGAGGGTGGCTCAGAAAGAACAGGAGCACACGGAAGTGTTCAGAGATCTCAGCCCCGAAGGAGACACGGAGGGAGTGCAGGAGAGGGGCACACGCGAGTCAGGTGGGAAAGCACAGCCGTGTCAGCTCCTTCTATCAGACATGCCGTGGCAGAGACGCACGACCTACAACTCAACGCCCTGTGATAGCAGCCAGACATATTTTAAAAAGAGAAGTCAAGGCTCACCACCCCAGAGAACTTGCCCCAGCACCGTGGAACATAACCACAGCACAGATCAGTGGAGCGTCTTTGGAAAGTCACATTCCTGGGCAGAAGGAAGAGGAGGAGGCCTTGGTTATTTCCATGGTACATTGTTGTCATGGTCCAAGCCGTGAGGATGTTATAAACCTGAGCTAGAGACAGCAGCCCAAACACAGTGGGTGCCTCCCTGGGATTCACTCAGCCACTGGAGACAGCTGTGGAAGGGAAGAAGGCTTAGTGTAAATTCCAGAACATTCCACACTATTGTGCATTGGATGTGGAATTCCAGCCCCCACCTCACCCTCAGCTGCTAGTGTTAAAAACCTGATCCCTGGCTGCTGGTGTTGTGTTGGGAAGTTGAGGAACCTTTATCTGGAGGAAGCGGGTCACTTTGGGGGAGGAGACCTGCTGGATTGTAACCCAACTTCCCTGCTTCCCGATCCAGGTAGACTTGAGGAGTCCCAGTACACAGTCCCACCACTATAAGCAACTCTGATGGACCGATGGACCCTCAAACCAAGGTCCAAAATAAATCCTCCCTTCCTTAATTGCTTCTTCCAAGGTATTTGGTCACAGAAAAGTAACACACACACACACACACACACACACACACACACACACACACACACAAAACTTCTAACCAAGTAGGGTCTTGTGAAAAAGTA